TATATATATTTTGCTTAAATTCTTTTTTTTATAAAAATGTTTTTCTAATCAAATAAGCACTTTTTATGTATTTATCTAAACTCTTTTTAAAAAAATGTGCAAATTTTTGCTTATTTTTATTAAGTAACTCCCATCAGTTTCTTAAAAAAAATTAAGAAAATACTTGTTTAAAAATACTTCTTTTGAAGTTTTAATAAAAGGACATATAATTTAGGTAAAGTTAACTTTTTAATTTAACGATAAATTCTAAAAGTTATTAACCAATGTAAAAATAAGTAAAAGTTAATCAATTTTTTGTTTATATATATATATATATATATATATATATATATAAAATAAAGACAATACCGAAAACTAAGGATAAAGGCTTATCATAAAAAATAAAAAGGTTATTAGTGTGAAGATTGATTTAAAAATAAAAAATATATATATAGGGACAAATTAAAAATTTATTAATAAAATTAGAGACTAAACTTTACTTTAATCAAAATGATTTTTTCTATTGGAAAAAATTGGAAGTTAAAAAAAATGATATCATTTAAATACATTTGTTCAATCCGTTATGAATTATATATGATGACATTATGCGAAGTGAATGCATACAATATATAATTTATTAAGATTAATTTGTACATAAATTAACAACTTTTCTAAAATATTAAAAAAAAAATTCAATCCCAACTGGAGACAATTTACAAAATTGGTATTTTTGACAAGCTAGTAATATAAATTTTATTTTATGTTGACTCGTATTTAAATCTATAGTTCCATCAAGATCATAAAATAGTTTATCTAAAATTACAAACATAACTTACACAATTTGGTAAAATATGATTTAATTGTTTTTTTTTCTCTTTATATTAAATCTAGGTAGATACATGGGAAGGAATATTTCAATTTGAATTAATGTAACAAAAATAGTTTTAAAATTTTGTAAAAGCAATAATATATTTGATTTATTAATTAAGAATATTTAGTTTACATTGTTAAAATTCAATGTAAATTATGAGTTATTAAGTAAAGTAATTTTATCAAAACTTATTTTTTAAATAAGTAAATTCCTTTCACATATATATAGGTCAATCCATTAATGTCATAATGTCTAATTAATGAAATAACATATTCAATATTTTTTATAGAATGTAAATTCAACCGATTTATTCATTGTATTTGATGATATTACACTCATGATCATGCATATTAAATTTTAAACGGTTTGGACTCTTCTAAATATGTTACCTAACAATGGAATTTACATGTAGTTTAAATATCATTTTATACGCTGAAATATAGTGATAAGATAAACTATCAAACAATTTTAGAATTGTATGAAACGTTGTACACTTTATCTAATTAGTAATATCATCAAATATAATTATTGAATTCATTAAATTTACATTTTTTTAAAAATTATTGAAGTTATCATTTCACTAATTTGACACATGGTATCAACAAATTCTGATATATACATACATATATATATATGCATACATACATACATATATACATATATATGTATATATATACACACAATACACATGCACTATTGAAAAAATTTTATAGACAGATCAAGTCTACAAATATTTACCAGATTTAAAAGTTATATGATATTTCGTTATAAAGAATTCAAATTAATGAATAATTATTTTTATAGATATACATCAATTTGAATTAATATAATAAAATATTAAATAGTATACAAGTTTTGAAAAGAAAAATTGTAGACTTTATATATTCAATTAAAACTTTTAATTTAATAGTTAAATCTATAAAATTTAATATATACTTTAAATTATTAAATAAAATAATTTTATCGAAAGTTACACTTTTTTTCAACTTTAGACTTCCAAACACTATCATTTTTTTTTGCATGTTCTGGTTAAAGAATCGATATGTAAAAAAATTTCATTGAAAATTACAAAAGTTACATAAAAGAATATGCATATGCACTCTTCACTGACAATTTTCTACTCTTGATTCTTTAACTAGTACCGTAAGGACACTTGTTAGCATTTTCCTTTGCGAAATTAGCACAAATGTAATTTGCCAAAGTCCTCCCTCCTTAGCTTGATTCTGCTTGCAAATGCAATCCCAACATTTAGAAACCCACTTTCTTCTGTCTCTCTGTGCAAGAATGAATCTGCTAGCTGGATTTAGTTGTTCGAAAGTTCACTTCTGTTCACTGTTAAATTTGTTCATCACTCTCTACAAAACATGTATGCCATATATTTGATGATTCCTTTGATGCTTTAAAACTAATTTTTAAAAGGTTAATTTGCTAGCTCCAGTTCTTTCAAAGGCGCTAGCTTTCTCTTGGCTGTTTTGGATGAGATTCCATCCAAGACTGCTTTTTTTTGTCTGAATGTGATTAGAGTCTCAAGATTCTCTGCAGTTTGTGCAACTCATATCTTCTTCAGAAGTCCAGTTTCTTCTCTTGTATGGTCTTCTCTCTACGTTTATTTGGGGAGAAAGGTCAAGCCACTGAATTTATTTTTTGGCATGTAACTATGTGGTAGGGATGGCAACGGGCCGGGGCAGTTACAGGTTTCATGATACCCGTCCCCGTCCCCGCAAGTTAAACTCATCTCCATCCCCGTCCCTATACCCGTCGGATATAGATTTTCATCCCCATCCCCGTTCCCGTCGGGTATCGGGTATACCCGTATCCGTACTCGTACCCGTCAATTTTTTTATTTTTTATTTTTTGTAAAAAAAATGATATTTTTAAATTATTTTTTTATTATATTATAATTATAATTAGGTTATTTCTTTATCTCATATTATAATAAATAATCACATAAAAAATATTAAAATTTTTTAATATAATTAAATTGAAAGTGAATATTAAATTAAAAATGAGAACGGGGACGGGTACGGGGCAGGTAACGGGTAAGTACATACTCGTACCCGTACCCGTACCCGATTTAATATATCGGGTTTTACCCGTACCCGTACCCGGTCAAACCGGATATTCCCCGTCAAAGTCGGGACGGGTTCGGGTATTACCCGCGGGTACGGGTATATTTGCCATCCCCATGTGGTCCTTGTGAATGATTAGGAATAAGATTATCTTTCAAAATCATTCCTTTGACTTGTTTAGGTTCTTGATAGTAGTATTAAGGTCTGCCCTTAGGAATGTTATGAGGTTAAGGTAGGGGCCGGGTTCCTACTTCCTAACCTTGTTTTTTTAACTGATTGATGTCTTAATCCTATTGGATGTGCTACTGTCTGGATGCTAGGAAGCCTCTGATCCTTTTGTATATGGACTAGAGTACTAGATGTGCCCTCTTTAGGTCATCTTTATTTTCTTGGCAAAAAATATAACCCAAGCATTCAGAAGTGCTCAAGAGAACCATGGTAGAACAAACAATGATATCATTGGCAGAGTTCAATTTGTGAACCCTGCACCATTTCAGATGCATTTTCAAACATACACGGATATACATATAAAAATTGCAAGCCTGAAACAGAAAATAAGAACCGATAAATTAATATTTGAAAGAATGATAGATTAAGTTTTGATATAGTTATTGAGTTTTTGTTTACTGAGATATATATTTTTGCAAGAGAGGTATTATCTTTTGTTGTTTATCAAGTATTACTGTTTATGGACATCTATCATTTTAGACTTAAATCTTTATAATTTACTTTTGAATCATCACTCAAAAAGATCTCAAGTCAATGAGTATGAATGAACTTTATAATCCTTATTTCTCCTCTCATTCAAATAACATAAGATTTTAATTGTATTCTAACAAATTTTTATAACCATATGCATTTTAAGTTAGAATAGGACTCTGCACTCAAGTTTCAACTTCTAACTAAGATGTCATCAAGTTTGTTATATATGATTGGTAGGTGCAATAATATTTGCATATACATCCTTGCTCACACAAATGCAGGAATTGCAATTTACATCTTGTCCCAAAATTACATCATTTACCAAAGACAGCAGTCCAGTTTCATGAATACTATATACATGAGCAAGTTGAAGGATGAGACACTCTACCAGTCAACAGAAGAAGCTACTGCCATTCCAAAACATGCACGTGTAAGATTTGCGCACAAGCTTCTACATATGTAACCAGCACCTAAATTTAATCTTTGGTTGGAAAGTTGCTGGTTCCCCAAGCAGTAGGGTAAGTAGTAATTGCAGAGCCTGTCATACTCAAAGATTGCTTTGCAAATCCAACGCTCTTTCTAGTTACCAGCCACACAGAATAAAAGCATCCAACCCATCCTGGATCATATAGTTTTTAATGTGCAGGCAATATTAGTGTTAGTACTTAGTTCCTACAAAAGAAATAAAGAGCAAAAAGGTAAAACATAGTGTGTGTGTGGAAGGGACCGCCA